ATAATATTTCCTGTCCGAATGTCCTGGTGAAAATGTGGGTAAATAAAAGAGTTGAGTAATAAAAAACTTATGTGAAAAATATATAATCAAAATGCAATATTAGTTTGTGGTATTATTATTCGATGGTATGCACTGTGTGTCACATATTATTATAATATGCTTGGATAGAATTGACTATTATTTATCATTATGTTCTTGACTGTTGGACATGCCATACCAGTTGATATCTTTGTAAAAAAAGAAACCATTTCTGGATTCAGAAATCATAAATAACTGCCTTGAATTTGTTGTTTACTTAGTAGGTCATTGTTTATTTTCAATGTACATACTTGGGACTTACTGCGTTTTTTATAACGATAAAGCTTTTGATTTCCTTAAAATAATTTTTTGCTAATAAAAGTAGTACGATTTATATAAAGTAATGTATTGTTTTTAATTATTATAATTTATATTTATAAGTTGGTAAATTATGGCTTGGAATTCAGGACAATGCGCGTTTTACGATCGGTTTAAAATAAAATAAAACATTCACAATAATTTAGTTGATATAACTCTAATCTACTATTTCAAAATCGATAAGTATATTTTTTTTCTTTTTTAAAAATAAATAATGAGTTATTTTATATTTATTATTGTTTAAGAAATATTATATACCAACAATTTTCGCATTTAGTCAAGCGATAAAATATATCTATGAAAACGATAAAGGTTTAAAATGTTTCATAATTTATTACGACTTTCCACCCTATCTCTTAACATTAAAGACTCCTTAAGTCCTTTAATATTTCAGTTTACAGAACACGAATTTTACATACAATTCAACAATTTAATAATAAAAATTGAAATATTTTACATTTTCATTTAAATGTAAGCACTTATAATCCAATTTTAACTCTGTTATTATAAATATTCGTTACTCTTTAAATATCGCATCTAATAATCTCGGATACTAAATAATATATATAATCGAAAACGTAATGCTATTAAATTTGATAGGTACCTATAAACAATTTAAAAAAAAAACATTTAAATATTCTATTGTTGGTACACAATTTTAAATTGTATTACTATCTATTATAAGAACAATTATTAATAAATAATATCGTAGCTGATATATTCACTACATTATCAGGATCAGTTTGGCGCGATAAACAATGGTGATTATTTTCAAATGTTTAGTAGGTACTTATATATATTATAACTAAAACAGAATTATCGGATCTATTTTGTTTATTAGGTACCTAGCTATAATAATGTAATATGTATCACTTTAAATATCACATTAAAACATCAAAGTTTAATATTTCCACTCATTTTGTAGTAAATACACGTAACTCCAACATACGTTATGATAATATCACTAGTCACTACTTTTAAAATGTTATTACCTACTTCTTGCTCGTTACTTGTAAAGTTACATATTATACCTACTTTATGACCTTATATCATTATAAATCATAAATATTACGAAGATTAAAGAGTAATTATTTGTTTTTGTTGTTTTTTTAAATTTTATATAATATTAAACGATGCATAATTATTCCGATTTAACAAAGCCAATTTTACCGAGTACTTTCGATGCATATCGAAAGTACATAAAACAGACGTAAACGGAGAGCTATTTAATTTTATTAGCGACATTATTAGGACATATTGAGTGGTAGCCAAAATGTGAAGGACACCAACATGTCTTCAGTGTTGTCTCCACCTTACACAAACATACAATTTAGCAAATTTGCGTTGAACAGAACGAATTTTATGTTGTTAGATTTATATAAGAATACATACTATATCTTATCAAAATCAAAGGCAAAACAATATTTGTATATGGACGTTGATTAGTTAAAAGATATCAATTATAAGAGAGATACAGACATTTTTGTTTTATAATATTTTACTTAGTCATAGCTCGTTTGATAATATTGATATATCATAAAAATCAAAGTACAGATACAAATAATGTGATAATCACTCTACTTTAATTAATAATACGAGTAATACGATACCAAAATACAGAAACAGAATAATTAATCAAAGGTATTACGAAGAACCCAATATTACGTAAATGTTCACACCAGCTAATCTGTATCCACAACATGAGGTACGATACATAAATTACGCATAATTTATCATACCCAAATCATATGTGCTATTTCTATGAAGCATTTTCATATATTCTGACGACGTATTTAGCGATAGCAGCGCAATGTACGTTCTTTCAAGAAACTAAAGAATATTTTACATAATCCCAAAAAGACTTCCACGCATTATCTGTGGAAAACCAACTAAAATACAACCATCCATGGATACAAATATGAGTTACATAGAAAAAATAGACAGGTAGCGCGTGAACTCCGTGTATTTAAGTGACATGGAGTGACCTTGATCCACTCACAATGTGCCAAACGCCTTTAAGTAGCTTAGTCAAATAACCTATTGGAAACGCTACTAAAACACAAAAGCTAAGGTTAACACGAAGAATCACTAAAAATACAATCACTAGTTCATAGAAACTAGACTACAGGCCTACGACCATATTAAACAATACATCTCTATACCTACTCAGCTATTAGGTGGTGGCTGTCCAGCATGGAAATCATCAGCACAAGCGAAGGAGATTGACGAGCTCTACCGGATAAACGACGGTATCAGAAGTGATTGAAGATAGAAAGAAATGCTATTCCGATTAAAGAAACCCACTATACTCTACTCTATGGGTAAGGTAAGTGTTACACGTAAGCGAAACCTCTTGAAAACTACTTAGGTGGAAAGAGTTGTACGCAGAGTGACTATAAACATTTGTGTATCGTTGTAAATACACATACAATATTAAGAGTTTCCCAATCGTTATTTTATCTATATGGTTATAGGGACATTTGGTCATTCAAATTGAGTAGACATTAAATTATGCCAGAGAGAGTATAAGGACTAAAGAGTTTCCGTAGGTATGATATGTTTTATTACAAATGCACATAATATAATTACACACTTTCTTAATGCAAAAAATATTTTTTACGTCTCTTCCTGTACAAAGTAATACATTACAATCACGTACGAGTGTTTGTTTAAGCTCGGTTTTCATAAATAAAATATGTACCTACCTAATACATTTGTATTATTATACCGTAATGTTATTATATCTTTTTTTATATATACAATCAAGTGAGTTATATCAGCAAGAGTTGCATAATACATTTTTCGTTTTACAAATACATTTATTATTATAGTATTTTTTTGTACACAAACATTTCTTAAAACATTGCTGAATTTAATATTTCTAATGTATTTCTAAGAAATGCTCTAGATATGAGTCTAAGTTGTGCTTTCTGGCCAAAAACCCAGTAAAATGGTTAATCACCATTACCTGAAGATAACTGTTTTTGTTTTAGTGAACTGGTCAATTCGAAGATGTTTACCCAATACATTAATTTATTAACTACTATCTACCATACATACTCTTAAAATATAATATCTTTATTTACTATTTCATCATTTCCTTAGCTAGCTCTAACATTAACAAATTTTTCCATGTAGAATGATTTAAGTTATGACCACACATTTTTTAGTTGATAAAATATTAAACAATATTAACGAACTCAATTGTCCGTTTGAATAATGAAAGGATCTCCAAAAATATAAACTATAAAAATTCGATTTTAATTACTTAAACCACGATTTTTTTCTCTGGAGCACTCAACGTTGACAAAAAGTTAGAATAGAAAAATAATTTTTTTATAGTTAATATAAATATATATTATGTATTTCCGGTGTAATTTCATGACTGGAAATTGAATAAATCGACATATGTATTGTGAACGTGCATTGATTTCATTCAACATCATAGCTAGGTTACACAACTTCACCTTTCTTAGCGATCATTTTTTTCAAACACTTTTCATGATAATTGAAAATGTATTGATAGTAACAAGACGTAATATATTACATAATAATTTTTAAAATTATAAATCATATTATAGCTAAGTGTGTATTAGGTATATTTATTTACGAAAATTGTGTTTTAATAAATACTCGCATCCAAAATGTCTTACCTATCTCAAATTATTCAATTGTTCAGCAGAAAGATTTTAAATTTCAAACGACCTATTGTCTATTGAAATAAATATCAAATTTAAAAATGATAATATTTGTTTTACGTTAAGTCACGAATTCACGATATTTGTTTTTTGTTCTAATCAAAACTATAATAATAACTGTATTATACTACATTTCAGCTACTAACTGTCAACCATTACCTACCATTTTCCTATCAAATTTGTATTCTTTTATCAATATAAAATTGGTTCTGCTTGACACAAGATTGATATGACATAGTTGACATTATTAGCGGATAGGCAGTTTTATTGAAATTCGATACCGATTGTTTTTGATTAGTTCAACGATAGACATTTTATAAGTATACGCTGTTTGAATGAAAAAAAATGGATAATTAGTATATTTCCAAACAAGGACCCAAATATTACCAATCTATGGTCGACAAATAATATTCATCACTAAAAAATGATGTACTGTTTGCAGCCATTGCTGAAAATGTGATGAGAAATCGGAAAAAATAACTAATGCTGGTCGTCAAAGAATTGATCACCTCTCGCACAAAAAATATAACATTGATTTGTAAACAACAAACAATGCGTCGACTTTACAGTGCCAACTATAATGCTTACTGGAACCGTATCTGTATGAACAGTACACTACACAACTCGTTAGATAGATGTCAATTCAAAAATTAAGAAAGGAAAGTAAATGGACCTCGAAAAACCATCAGGAAGAGAGGATGATCAATCTCATGTAAGATTCTTGTGAATTTAAGCATGATATATTCATATTTCTTATCACATTAATAGTCGTGTCTGTGTGATGGACGAAAAGAAGATAAAATACACGTTTTCGTCGAAAAACAAAACCGTCTGCATCCGATACGCATGTCTGGAGTTAAGTCCCCCCCCCCCCGACTATAGTAATATTTGCTTGCGGGCACTCACCTCTTTGTCCTGGTTTCTCAGAGTCGTCGCCCGGCGGGAACAGGTAGTCTTCCGGCACCGCAGTCGCGGCTTCA